AAAGTTTGTCTCAATTAAAATTGTTTTAAGTAAATTTGTTTCAAGTAAGACTGATTCATGTAAAGTTAGTCTCAATTAAAATTGTCTCAAGTAAATTTATTTCAAGTAAGACTGATTCATGTAAAGTTAGTCTCAATTAAAATTGTTTTAAGTAAATTTGTTTCAAGTAAGACTGATTCATGTAAAGTTTGTCTCAAGTAAATTTATTTCAAGTAAATTTGTTTCAAGTAAGATCGATTCATGTAAAGTTTGTCTCAATTAAAAATGTCTCAAGTAAATTTGTTTTATGTAAAACCGATTCAAGTAAATTTGTTTCAAGTAAATTTGTCTCAATTAAAATTGTTTCAAGTAAGATTGGCTCAAATAAATTTGTTTTATGTAAAACCGATTCAAGTTAAATTGTTTCAAGTAAATTCGTCTCAAGTAAGGCCGATTCATGTGAAGTTTGTATCTATTAAAATTGTTTCAAGTAAATTTGTTTCAAGTAAGACTGGTTCATGTAAAGTTTGTCTCAAGTAAATTTATTTCAAGTAAGACTGATTCAATTAAAATTGTTTTAAGTAAGACCGATTCATGTAAAGTTTGTCTCAAGTAAATTTATTTCAAGTAAATTTGTTTCAAGTAAATTTGTTTCAAGTAAGATCGATTCATGTAAAGTTTGTCTCAATTAAAATCGTTTTAAGTAAGACCGATTCATGTAAAGTTTGTCTCAAGTAAATTTATTTCAAGTAAATTTGTTTCAAGTAAATTTGTTTCAAGTAAGATCGATTCATGTAAAGTTTGTCTCAATTAAAATCGTTTTAAGTAAGACCGATTCATGTAAAGTTTGTCTCAAGTAAATTTATTTCAAGTAAGACTGATTTATGTAAAGTTTGTCTCAATTAAAATTGTTTTAAGTAAGACTGATTCATGTAAAGTTTGTCTCAATTAAAAATGTTTTAAGTAAGACTGATCCATGTAAAGTTTGTCTCAATTAAAATTGTTTTAAGTAAGACTGATTCATGTAAAGTGTATCTCAAGTTAATTTGTTTCAAGTAAGACTGGTTCATGTAAAGTTTGTCTCAATTAAAAATGTTTTAAGTAAGACCGATTCATGTAAAGTTTGTCTCAATTAAAAATGTTTTAAGTAAGACCGATTCATGTAAAGTTTGTCTCAAGTTAATTTATTTCAAGTAAGACTGATTCATGTAAAGTTTGTTTCAAGTAAATTTGTTTCAAGTAAATTTGTTTCAAGTAAATTTGTTTCAAGTAAATTTGTTTCAAGTAAGACTGATTCACGTGAAGTTTGTCTCTATTAAAATTGTTTCAAGTAAATTTGTTTCAAGTAAGACCGATTCATGCGAAGTTTGTCTCTATTAAAATTGTTTCAAGTAAATTTGTTTTATGTAAGACCGATTCATATAAAGTTTGTCTCAAGTAAATTTGTTTCATGTGAAGTTTGTCTCTATTAAAATTGTTTTAGGTAAGACCGATTCATGTGAAGTTTGTATCTATTAAAATTGTTTCAAGTAAATTTGTTTCAAGTAAGATCGATTCATGTAAAGTTTGTCTCAATTAAAATTGTTTCAAGTAAATTTATTTCAAGACTGATTCATGTAAAGTTTGTCTCAATTAAAATTGTTTCAAGTAAATTTATTTCAAGACTGATTCATGTAAAGTTTGTCTCAATTAAAATTGTCTCAAGTAAATTTGTTTCAAGTAAGACTGATTCATGTAAAGTTTGTCTCAAGTAAATTTGTTTCAAGTAAGACTGATTCATGTAAAGTTTGTCTCAAGTAAATTTGTTTCAAGTAAGACTGATTCATGTAAAGTTTGTCTTAATTAAATATGTTTCAAGTAAATTTGTTTCAAGTAAATTTGTTTTATGTAAGACCGATTCATGTGAAGTTTGTCTTTATTAAAATTGTTTCAAGTAAACTTGTTTCAAGTAAGACCGATTCATGTAAAGTTTGCCTCAATTAAAATTGTTACGAGAAAATTTGTTTTAAGACCGATTCATGTAAAGTTTGTCTCAATTAAAATTGCCACATGTAAAATGTTTTATATAAGACTGATTTAATTCAAGTTAAATTGTCTCAAGTAAAATTGTTTTATGTAAGACTAATTCAAGTAAGTTTGTTTCAGGTAAGATTGATACAAGTTAATTTGTCTCAAGTAAGATTGTTTCAAGTAAGAGTGATTCATGTAAGACTGGCTCAAGTTAAATCGTTTCAGGTAAGATTGATTCATGTAAGACTGATTCAAGTAAGATTGTTACCAGCAAGATTGTTTCATGCATGACTGGTTCAAGTTAAATTGTTTCAAACAGGATTGGTTCATGTAAGACTGATTCAAATAAGATTGGTTCATGTAAGACTGATTCAAGTAAATTTGTCTCAAGTAAAATTGTTTCAAGCAATACTGGTTCATGTAGGACTGGTTCAAGTGAAATTGTTTCAAGCAAGATTGACTCATGTAAGACCGATTCAAGTTAAATTGTTTCAAGTAGGATTGACTCATGTAAGACCGATTCAAGTAAAATTGTTTCAAGCAAGATTGACTCATGTAAGACCGATTCAAGTAAAATTGTTTCAAGTAGGATTGGTTCATGTAAAACCGATTTGAGTAAATTTGTTTTGTGAATCAATCTTAAACGAGCCGGTCCTGAAACAATTTAACTTGTTACAATTTTAATCGAAACGAATTTTACATGAATCGGTTTTACTTAAAACAAATTTACCTGAAATGCAAATACTTGAGACTAATTTACTTGAAACAAACTTTACATGAATCAGTATTACTTAAAACAAATTTACTTGAATCAGTCTTACATGAACCAATCTTACTTGGTTAATACTTTACATGAACCAATCTTACTTGATTTAAACTTTACATAAATCGGTTTTGAAACAAATTTACTTGGATCAAACTTTACATGAATCAGTCTTACTTGAAACAATTGTTTTTGGGTCAAACTTGTGACGATTTTACTTGAAACAAATTTACTCGAAACAAACTTTACATGAATCAGTCTTACATTAACCAATCTTACTTGAGTCAATCTTACTTGAAACGATTTAACTTAAATCAATCTTGAAACAAATTAACTTGAAACAAACTTTACATGAATCAGTCTTACTTAAAACAATCTTACTTGAATCAGTCTTACATTAACCAATCTAACTTGAATCAATCTTGAGACAAATTTACTTGAAACAATCTTACTTGAGACAAATTTACTTGAATCGGTCTTACATGAACTAATCTTACTTGAAACAATCTTACTTGAGACAAATTTACTTGAATCAGTCTTACTCGAACCAATCTTACTCGAACCAATCCTGCTTTGTAACAATTTCACTTGAGACAAATTTACTTGAATCAGTCTTACATGTAACAATTTTACCTGAAACAGCTATACTTGAATTAGTTTAACTTGAGGCGCACATTATATGAATCAGTCTTACATGTAACAATTTTACCTGAAACAGCTATACTTGAATTAGTTTAACTTGAGGCGCACATTATATGAATCAGTCTTACATGTAACAATTTTACCTGAAACAGCTATACTTGAATTAGTTTAACTTGAGGCGCACATTATATGAATCAGTCTTACATGAAACAAATTTACTTGAAACGGTTTTTACTTGAAGCGTACTTTATATGAATCAGCCTTGCTTGTAACAGTTTGACTTGAATTGGCCCTACATATAAAACAAATTTACCTGAAACGGTTATACTTGAATCAGTCTTACATGAAACAATCTTGACAGTTTTACTTGAAACATACTTTATATGAAGCAGTCTTGTCCGAAAAACACTTTATATGAATCTGTTTTACTTAAAGCACGCTTTATATGAACCGGTCTTACATGTAACAATTTTACTTGAAATGGTTTTACTTGAATCGGTCTTGCATGTGATATTTTTACTTGAAACATTTTTTACTTGAAGCATACTTTATATGAATCAGTTTTACTTGAAGCATACTTTATATGAATCGGTCTTGCATGAATTTTACTTGAAACAGTTTTTACTTGAAGCATACTTTATATGAATTGGTCTTGCACGAATTTTACTTGAAACAGTTTTTACTTGAAGCATACTTTATATGAATTGGTCTTGCACGAATTTTACTTGAAACAGTTTTTACTTGAAGCATACTTTATATGAATTGGTCTTGCACGAATTTTACTTGAAACAGTTTTTACTTGAAGCGTACTTTATATGATTTACTTGAATCAGTTTTACTTGAAGCATACTTTATATGAATCGGTCTTGCACGAATTTTACTTGAAACAGTTTTTACTTGAAGCATACTTTATATGAATCGGTTTTGCACGAATTTTACTTGAAACAGTTTTTACTTGAAGCATACTTTATATGAATCAGTTTTACTTGAAGCATACTTTATATGAATCGGTCTTGCACGAATTTTACTTGAAACAGTTTTTACTTGAAGCGTACTTTATATGAATCGGTCTTGCATGAATTTTACTTGAAACAGTTTTTACTTGAAGCGTACTTTATATGAATCGGTCTTGCATGAATTTTACTTGAAACAGTTTTTACTTGAAGCATACTTTATATGAATTGGTCTTGCACGAATTTTACTTGAAACAGTTTTTACCTGAAGCATACTTTATGTGAGTGAGTTAGTCTTGCGTGTAACATTTTAACTTGAAATAGTTTTACTTGAAGCATGCTTCGCACGAACCAGACCTGAAGCATTATTTGCTGACCTGTTTACCTTTACCTTACCGATGCCAGCACTATACAACTTTTTAATTTTAATTGACGATAAAACTATTGACAATTCAGTAGTACAGCACCAATAAAATAAACGAATCCAACTTTAATTATTTCATAATAAAATTGTCTAGAACATAAAAAGTTCCACATTACACGTGTTTTATTTTGGGACGTTTTTAAAAGAAATATATTGTCAAGAATTTAATGGAGAACATTGAACAGTACATTGCTTTTTGGAGACCGACTGATCCGATCCATATGGGTTTATGGGTCAATGGTATTTGTCAAATTTTATATTAACAAAAGATATTTGTGATTCGTTCCCTAATGAAATAAAATCGTTGCCTCTATTAAAAAAACAGTATCATGTTATGAAGTGGTTAATCAAACAACAAAATTTCTACTCAGCTGAAAATTTTATGATGATGGGAAAAGCCTCGCTTTTTAAGTGTAGTAAATCATTTAATCTTATGGGTCTTACCGACAATCCTGGATCACATAAAAAGTTAGGAAGACATGTTACCGGTTTTAACGATGTTACGTGGAATGAATATTGTTGCAATATTGTCAAAATTGGTAACTACCTCAAGTTTAGTCAAGATGAGAATATTAGGCATAAACTAAAAGAAACTGGTTCGGCAATACTGATAGAAGGAAGTCCATTAGACAAAAATTGGGGAGTTGGTCTAAGGTTTGACAATCCAAATATCGAATAAAAAAATGTGGCTAGGTACAAATTATCTCGGCGAATGTCTCATGTTTGTTAGAAACATACTTTAGAAAAAGAATTTTTTAGGTGGATAATATAATGAAAATGCAAACGCAAACATGGTCGTTTTTATATTTGTGTTTTTGTTATTTGTTTATTAAATTTTTAACGTTCATCAATATAAATACGTAAATTATGTAAAAACATTACCTCTTTAAAAAAATTATGCCGTATTAATCTATGCTTTCCTTTTTTTAATGAACATTATATGTCGACAAAAAAATAAAGGACTGTGTTTTATTGATGATATTTAATATAATAAAAGCACTAACACGTATTATATTTTAGTGTTTTGTCAACATTTTTATTTTAAATAAAAAAGTCATATGATGCTTATAATCGGGCAATAATTACAACAGATTTGTGGTTTAATTTGCATATTGCGTATTTTTTTTTATCTTGTTTATTTTATAATTGTTTTTTTATCGAGTTACGTTACAACATAATTTAACCTAACGCAAAGTTATAAACACACAACCCCCATAACTAAAAAAATAATGAATAGTAACATAGTTATTAAACATAGCGTCAATGACTTAATTGAAGACATAAAAAAAACAACTGATCCAATTAAACTAATTATGTTAAAAAAGTTCCTTACAATAAAAATGACACAATCAAAAAATAAAACCAATTCTGGAAAACAAAATGGTTTAAGTCCAAAAGTGGATTGCAAAATAAAAAAAATGTTAGATGATCTTGACAAGGCCACGAAAATTAAAGCATATAGAGAACTGATAGACGACAATGAAAGGGATTTAAACAGAAAAGAAATAGAAAGAAATAGGGGAAAAACGGAAAGTGTGTGGGAAAGTAATGACATATATGACCCAAGATATGCTAGGTATCAGAAAGAAGACACCATGAATAACAAAATGATGGAAAGACTAAACATCGAGATTGATTTTATGACAGATGAAAATAAAATGACGCGACTCGAAAAACCTTTTAATGATAATGTAAGTGAACTAGATTGTATGGAAGAATTTGCTAAATGCAAATTATCTAATAATGACAAAGTTAAAGTTAAACACGTTCCCAAAAAAATAGGAAACATCAGACTCGGGCAGAGAAAACTAAATAATAAATTTTTGTGAATATAATTTACTTTTTGTTATCTTTTGTGGTTTTAATTTTATTTGTCATATGTTTATATCCAACAATACTGCCACCTTTTTGATATTCGTTCTTAATTTCGTTAACTGCTTCTTTGTCAACTTCTCCTCCAGTAAAACCATATATAATATATTTTTTCTTTAGTCTAAGCTCACTAAGAGACCACTTTTCTTTTTTTCCGTCTGGGAGAGGACGAATAACTTTAATTGGTATCATTTTGCTTTCTAGTTCGAGTTGCGCGACAGTCCTTGGATCCATATTATTGACGCCTTTAATCATGGGTTTTGCACGTTGTGCTAGCTGCGCCGTTCTATCACCCAACAAACGGACTCGTTCATATTGGGTAAGATGTCCAACTGAGCGGCGATCTTCCGGTTTGACATATAAGTCTTCGTTAAATTCGTTTTCATCCGCATTACCATTTGCACCATCATCTTCGTCGTCATCTTCTTTATTAACAGCACCGTGCTTTTTTGTGTTTTTTGATTTACGAAAATTGTCGTACAAACATTCGCCACCATCATTATCATTATCATTATTATTGTCGTCACCCATGTCGATATCATCATCGCCAGCATTATCATTGTCATTATTATCATTATCATTATCGTCATCCTCACCATTTAATTCGACATTAATGGTGTCTTCATCATCACTGTCTCTAATGTTGTCATGAACTGTTGCATCATAAATGTCTAATTTACTATCATTAGATCCATTTTCAGATTCTGAATCATAATCATCGTGCATTTTTTCTTTAGATGCTTTAGTTGTTTTAGTTGTTTTAGTTGTTTTAATTGTTTTAGTTGTTTTAGTTGATTTAATTGGTTTAGTTCCATTTTGCACAGTGTTAGAATTACTTTTACCGTTTGGCATTTATATATTGGTTATATTAAAAGCATATTATTCTTTAATTATAATTTTAATAAAATATAATCAATTTTTTATAAAAAAATTTTTGCCACATGTCTTTGATAAAAAAACAAAGCGCGATAACTTGTTATTTTAGTTAAAATGCCAATATAACCATTAATATGACATTCAACATATGCATTAATACAAAATAATAAAAAATGACCTTATTTACAATAAATTTAAATTAATTTAAATTATTATTGTTCCAATAAAAAACAACACTATGCTAATAAACAGATCATCGTGGTTATTTAGTTCATTTTTACTGTTAAACATCTTGTACACACATAAATAGTGGCATATGTATCTGCACCTTTTCTTACAAAGATCGCTTCGTTGGGAAGATTTTTAGTATGTACTCCACATTCTTTATTTGGGCAGAGAAAGTTCCTTGTACGCGGCATTGTCCTCATATGAACCCTATTTCTATAGTTAGCTTCATTAATATATTCGTGAACTGCCGTAACACCTTCGGGGTTTTTTGTTAGAATTCGAAAGCGGGTTTTAATTGGTTTCGTAAACATGCAGTTTTTGCAAACCATAAACGCATGTACATTTTCGTCGGAATTACCCATATCCTCAATCATTACTTGGATCATTTTTTTTATCTCGCCTTTTTTTGCCATCTTTTTATAGTATTCGTTTTTAACCATCTCTTTAAAATCTATTGATTTAAGTTCGTTATCTGTTACTTTCTCATTATTTTCGACTTTTTTTAAAATACTTTCCAATCCTAAGTCAGTGTTGGGTTTAATATCCGATTTTGAGTCCGACTCTAAGTCCGACATCTCATCTGGCGTGTCAATATCGTCGTCATTGTCATTGTCATTATCTGTATCCGTAAGAGGTGTCCGTGAAATATCGAGAATATTTCCACATTTTTCGCAAAAAATGTCATAATAATCGGGATTCTGTAATCCTTTATCTGTTTTTGTTAATTTTGCATTAGAAGTTTTAGAATTGCTATTTTCTTTAACAACTTTTTTTGATTTTTCTTTGGTTTTATCAGACATTCGTCAAAATAGTAAATAATATAAATTTACTACTTATATTATTTTATAAAAATACAGTGTTATTATTTTTCAAATTTTGCGCAATTTTTACACCCTTGAAGATTTAAAATAAAATAAGACATAATTCCTGTTTAAATCTAAAGTTTTGTCCATTACAGAAATATGCAAAATTATGATTATGTTGTAGCGACAACTATAACTATAACTACAACAACAACTGGTCAGTTTTTAGTCCTTGCTAACACGTTTGTCGTTGTTGTTATTGTTATTTCTTTTAATAGTTTTGTCATTATCTCATTTTATTTTGAATTTTCGGGAGTATAAACAATAGTTTTCATAAAGAAATTACATTATTTTAGCTTGATTAGATGTTATTTTTTTAGATTTTGCTTCATTTGCTATTTTTTTTATTCGCTCGAATGTGATAGTTTTAACATCCTCGTCAGGCGGAAAACTTAGAAATATAGGCTTATTTGTCTTTTTTGATGTGTTTTTTATCATGAGATATCGATTATTTTCGCCAAACTTGCCCGGATTAACAATATATTCAATTGTTCCTTCTTTATGATAATAAAGATATTTGCCTTTTATTTCGTCAATCTGTTTTTGTTTGTTGGTCAAATACATTATGGCGTTTTCAAGCGTGACATTGTCTGGATTGACATCAATTGGGATATTTACCCCTTCATTACCACACGTTACATAAAAACCGTGTCTTCCGGTTTTAAGTTCTATGTTTTTCCCGTCTTTCTTTCCTAAAATCTTTGGGTACTTAAGAATTTGTAAGGCCTGGTCAAGAGTTATGTTGTCGATTGTTAGTGGAAGTTTGATCGGGGCAATTGCATTTTCAGATTTTTTTTCCGATCTTGGCATTGTTAAAATCGGCCCATGATAACCCAATGATGCGATAATGTCGTAACCGGTTTTGGGATTTTTGCCCAATATTTTTACCGCTTTTTTTTCTGTGTCGAGTTTTTCTACTAACGGTTTAAGCTTCTTCCAAAATGTTTCAAGACAGTCAATCCATTTTTTACCACCGTCCGCAATTTCATCAAGTTCTTTTTCCATATTTGCAGTAAACTGATACTCCATTATTTCCGGGAAATTTCTTATAAGTATTGCATTAACTTCGATACCTAATTGTGTCGGTACAAATTTTTTCTTTTCATTTCCAATATAAATTGTTTTTTTGTCTATGACAACACCATTTTTATCTTCGGGGCTCCATGTTAAAATTGTGGAATTTTTTTTAATGCCGTCAATATCTTTAATTTCAACATAGTTTCTTTTTTGCACGGTGTTGATTATTTCGGCATAAGTTGCCGGTCTCCCAATGTTTAAATTTTTGGGATCCATTTTTTTAACAAGTCCCGCTTCCGAGTACCTGGGTGGTGGTTTTTTGTATTCCTCTGAAAACTTTATTTCTTTGGCCAAAACAGTCTGTCCTTTTTTAGGAATTTTGGATTTTTTGTCATTGGGTTTTTTAACATTAATGTCATATACTGTCAGAAATCCCGGAAATATTATGTCGTCAATTATTGCTTTAAAAACATAATTTTTTTCTTTCGATATTCCTATCTCGACATAATGCACATTAATATTGGCAGGGGCCATTTGCGATGCAACAGTCCTTTTCCAAACTAATTGATATACACGTTGTTCATCAGGCCCGATCTTTCCACTGGTCTTAATTTCTTTTTTTGTAATATCGACAGGCCGAATAGCCTCGTGGGCTTCCTGTGTATTTCCTTTTTTATTCATATAGTTTTTTAGATTATAATATTTTTCCCCGTAATTTTCTTTAATGTATTTTTCACATTGTTGAAGGGCGTCTTTTGACAAATTCGTTGAGTCCGTCCGAAGATAAGTTGTGTATCCGGCTTCATATAGTTTTTGTAAAGACGTCATTGTCCTTTTAACATTAAATCCCAATTTTGTTGACATGTCTTGCTGGGCTGTCGAAGTAGTAAATGGGGCAGGTGGAAAACGTTTTGATTCTCTTACATAAATATTAGTAACTTTAAATGTCGATAATGTGAAGTTTTTCATTAGTTTTTCCGCATTTTTAAGTGACTTAATTACGGCTCTTTTCATTTTTGTTGTTTTTTCGCTTTTTTCGTCATTGTCCGTGTCCTCATCAATGTCCTCAACGTCCTCGATGTCCTCGACGTCCTCGATGTCCTCGACGTCCTCGATGTCCTCAATACATTGAGGGAGATCCGTATAGAGTTCGCATTTCATATTAATGGCATGATTTTCAGTGTTCATATCACTAATTGCTTTAAAAAATGAGGAATTGGTGCCTTCAAAGAACTTATTAATCTCTTGTTCTTTCTCACATATTAGCTTTGTTACAATGCTCTGAACTCTGCCTGCCGACAGATTTCTCATGCCTATTACTTGATTAAGTCCGGGGCTAATCCTAAAACCAACAATTCTATCTAAGATACGTCTAGTCTTTTGTGAGTCAACCATCAACATATCAAGTTTTCTGGGGTTTGCAATAGCTTTCTTCACCTCCTCTTTTGTAATTGAATTAAAAGTGATTCTCTCATAGTCGTCGTCGCCGAGCCTTAGGGCAACTTTGTAACTCCAACCAATCATTTCACCTTCGCGATCATGATCAGCAGCAATAATTACTTTAGATGCTTTTGAAACTTTTTCTTTTAATTCTTTAACAACATTGATTTTGTCTTGGAACTTTTTAGTCCCCGTGACAATATGGTATTCAGGCATAAAATTATTATCCAAATCAATACTCAATTTTTTAGGATGAAGATCCATAATATGCCCAAACGACGAAGTCACAACGTATCCAGGACCTAAAATTGACTCTAGTTTTTTGATCTTGCCTGGGGACTCAACAATCACAAGTATGTATGATGTAGCCTTTTTTGAAAGTTTTATAGGAATATAATCGTTAAAATTAACTAAAGTTACGGACGATATGTCGGATTTTTTCTTGGTTAAAGATTTTTTATCATTGGCAACGCTTTTTTCGGTATTTTTCGCCGTTTTAATGTTCGATTTTTTAGGTGGCATCAATGTCTTGATTAAATTTAATTAAAACATGTAATTGACTATTATTTAAATTGTGTCAAATACAATTTTTTCGAAAATGGTGATTAATTCCGCCTCAATTTTCCACTTCCACTTCCACTTCCACTCCCTTCCCTTGCGTATTTATGGTTAAAAAGTACACAAAGATATTAAGTTAATGTAATTTGCTAAAAAACGGCATAATTAATAAATACAATTAAACAAATTGTTTAATAAAAACACACAAATTGATAAATAACATATGCAACTGATCAACCAAATTGGCGTTTTTATTATAACACATGTTTAATTGAAACGCACGTGGCCCATAATATCTAATATCGAAACGCACTTGGCCTATAATGTCTAATATCGAAACGCACTTGGCTTATAATGTTTAATATCGAAACGCACTTGGCTCATCTCATAATGTTTAATATCGATATGCACTTGGCACATTTTGTGTTGCAAAATGGGAACTGCACACAAACAAGTCGTTATGGAGCTGTTTTTCTTATCACAAATATTTGGCAGTGTTCAATAGTTAAAATAATGGGACCGAAATTATAATATTAACTAGTTCGCATACAGTTCCCGATTTTTCTTGTATTATAAAAGGGATTTAACCACATCCAATGTATTCAAAACAATTTTTTTTTTGATAATGTTTGAAGACATTGCAAAAAAATGAAAACACACAAGCCTATTAAATTTAATAGAAAGGACCGCAAACAAGTTAAAAAAAATAAAAATTGACGACGATAACGAATATATTAGAACACTTCGTTATATTAACGGACAATTGACAACAGACGAAAAAAATAAAATTGTAGAAATCCACACCAGTAATATTGTAGCCGACGGCGATGATGATTTAGTTGGTATTTTAAAGGAAATTGGAGCGAAAAATTTTATTGTTGTTCCATAATTCAAATATATTAATTAGCTGGAATTTTATGCTATATTGGCAAAAATGATTTAGCCGAAATATTAAACGCAAATGTGGGGGATACCATCAGTAACATATGTAATAATTGTAATAGTGCCATACCAGACGAATTAAAATTTGGTGATCCAGATTTACTGTGGACAATTAATGGCGCTCTCGGCTTAATATGGAAAGATTTGGCTAAAGTGATGTTTGAAACACACCATAATGATGATATTAATAAAAATGCTATCGAACGAATTATTAATTCAATTGATCAAAACAGCAAAAATAAACCAAATGATTTTATCGGTAAATGGAACCATCTATACATGGGAGGAATGACAGACATGGGGTATTATGAAAGAAGCTTTAAGGATTAAGAACTTGTAGACATTTTTAATCAAAAGCACCATTTTTATCGGTTTAAAATAATTTTTTTATTGTGTTTTGGTGTTTATTTATTTTGCGCGCTTTTTATTATTCAACTTTAAAAAAACGAAAACATATTATGTCGATGTAAAAGTTAAGAGTGACACTATTTTTTTATCATATCAAGTTGTTTTATTAACAATGATTAGTAAAAGTGCTGTCATATATTCTTTTTTATTGTTTTTATGTTAATTTGTGTTTTTAGTATTATGCCAGTAGTTTTGCTAGGACATTAATTAAAAAAAGTCACATGGCTCTGTTATGTTAAACAGGTTATGTTTCACATTAGCATGGTTTCAAAAATGTTAGGATAGTTTCAAGTAGAACAGCTTCAAAGTTAAATATGTTTCAAATTAAACAATTTCAGGTTAAATATGTTTATGTTAAAATGATTTCAAGTGGGTTGTGTTATGTGCTAAAACGGTTTCAAGTTAACCAGTTTCATATTAAAATAGTTTCAAATAAAATGGTTCCAGACAAAATATGTTAAAATTGTTATAAATAGAATATGTTTCAAGTAAAACTGTTTCATGTAAATTTGTTTTATAACTAATTCATATAAGGTGCACTTCAAGTTAAATTGCTACAAGTAAAAATATTTCATGTAAGACCGGTTCATATTAAGCGCGCTTCAAGTAAAATTGTTACAAGTTAAACTGTTACAAGTGAATTTGTTTCGTGTAAGACTGATTCATATTAAGTTTGTTTTTACACAAACCTGATTCAGGTAAGACCGATTTATGCCAAGTTTGTTCCAAAAAAATTGTTTCAAGTAAATTTGTTTTAAATAAAAATGTTTCAAGTAAATATGTTACAAGTGAGACTGATTTATGTAAAGTTTGTTACAAGTAAATTTGTTCGAGTAAGACCGATTTATGTAAAGTTTGTTTCAAGTAAAGTTTGTTACAAGTAAGACTGATTTATATAAAGTTTGTTTTAAGTAAGACTGAATTGTGTAAAGTTTGTTACAAGACTGATTTATATGAAGTTTGTTTTAAGTGAGACTGAATTGTGTAATTTTTGTTTCGAGTAAAAATGTTTCAAGAAAAGTTTTGTTACAAGTAAGACTGATTTATGTAAAGTTTGTTACATACAAAACTGATTTATGTAAAGTTTGTTACAAGTAAGACTGATTTATGTAAAGTTTGCTACAATGTAAAGGGCAGAATTTGCCATTGGCATAATGTGTGGCGGATTTTTTTATTGAAATAATTTGTTATTGACTTGCCACTAACATAATTTATACTGTCATAATCACACACACGCCTCAAAAAAATGAAATTCAAAAATATTTGATCGCCGCATTCTTTTATTATCTAACAATACACTAATATCCGAAAGACTAAAATCATGTTTTGTGAATTATGTAATGACGATCATCCATTGATCATTATTAGGATGCATGCTCCTCCTTTACAAATTATAATAGAAAAACCTATAGAACTATCCAAATTGGCAGCTCGACAAAATGTCCAGGTGTTGAAATTTGAAAACAGAAGATATATGCAAAATGGTGGCAGGCCAGGAAGATATATGCAAAGATATATGCAAAGATATATGCAAAATGGTGGCAGGCCAGGAAAATATATGCAAAGAAAATATATGCAAAAAGGTGGCAGGTCAGAAAGATGGACTGGCGTTAGAAATTGTAAAAAAAAGACATAAGAAAAAAGAGTTGTAAATTATAAAAGAACAAACCGAAGAACTATACAAATTGGCAGTTCAGCAAGATGGTCTGGCGTTGGAATTTGTAAAAGAGCAAACAGAAAAGATATGTAATTTAGCAGTTAAACAAAATGTTGGTGCATGGGAATATGTAAAGTTTGCTACAATGTAAAGGGCAGAATTTGCCATTGGCATAATGCGTGGCGGATTTTTTTATTGAAATAATTTGTTATTGGCTTGCCACTGACATAATTTGTTATTGACTTGCCACTAACATAATTTATACTATCATAACTACTTGCCGCCCCAAAATAATGTAATTTAAAAATATTTGATCGCCGCATACTTTTATTATCTAACAACACACTAATATCCGAAAGACTAAAATCATGCATCCTGAATTAATTGGCAAACTATTATCGGGAGCTGAATTTAATCGTGTATTTAAAGGAATACCTCTTTATAAATTTCTTAACAATAATTTTACTCACTACGGTTTTACCTATGAACTCGGCCTTAATGTCGATACTGTTGCATTTAACCCAAAAGGTGAATGTTCTAAAGGAGGTCTTTATTTTTGTGCAGAATATGACTGTTGTCACCATATAAAAGAATATGGTAATTATGTTGCAATAGTCGAAATACCTGATGACGCCCAAGTTTACATTGAGGACTGCAAATTTAAGGCTGATCGATTTACACTTAAAAGAATCATCGAAATCAAAAATTTGCCACAACAAAGTTGGGCCGAGATTGAAAAAAATTATGATTGGGCGTTACAATTTGTAAAAGAAAAGACTAAAGAATTATGCGAATTGGCAGTTCAAAATGGTTGGGTTTTGCAATTTGTAAAAGAACAGACAGAAGAAATATTAGACGTTCATGAAGATGGCCTGGAATCGCTATATGTAGAAAAACAGACTAAAGAATTATGCGAATTGGCAGGTCAACGAAATGTCCAGGCGTTAGGATTTGTAAAAACATGCAAAATATGTATAATAGCGGTTTGAGAAAATTGTTTCGTCTTAAAATAGTTTCAAAAAAATAGTAACGTGTTAAAATAGTCCCATATTAAAATAGTTTCGCGATAATTGCGTTCCAATTAAATTTGTTTCAATTAAAATAGTTTCAGGCAAGACTGATTCACCTTAAGTTTGTTCAAATAAAATCGTTCAATTAAAATGTTTCAAGACTGATTCACGTAAAGTTTGTTTCAAGTCGATCTGTTTCGAATTAAATTGTTTCAAGTTAAACTATTTCAAATAAAATTGTTTCAATTAAAATTGTTTCAATTAAAATTACAATTAATACTGTTTCAAGTGTAAGGCCAGTTCATGTTAATTTGTTCCAAGTAAGACTGAATTATGTTGGGTTTGTTCGAGTTAAACTGTTTCATGTTAATCCGATTGGTGAGTGTTCTACAGGAGGTCTTTATTTTTGTGCAGAATATGATTGTCATAACCATCTAAATGGATATGGCGATTTTGTTGCAATAGTCTACATCGAAGATTTGCCACAACAATTTTGGATTGACATTATTGGAAATTATGGTCCGGCTTTACAATTTATAAATGAACAGACTAAAGAATTATGCGAATCAGCGGTTCGACAAAAATGGCGGGGCGTTACGATTTGTAAGAAAACAAACAGAAAAAATATGCAATTTGGCACTTCAGCAAGATGCTGGTGCATGGGAATATGTAAAGTTTGCTACAATGTAAAGGGCAGAATTTGCCATTGGCGTAATGTGTTGGCGGATTTTTTTATTGAAATAATTTGTTATAGAATACATTGACATTAATTTTAACAGAACTTATTGACACAACGGAACACGTTAGTCAAAATGTTGTTTAACAAATAAAACATAATAATTTGTTTATTTACCAAAGCGGCAGAAAATAAGTCGTCAAATTATAAATATTTTTATTCTGCTTAGTCATTGACTTGCCACTAACATAATTTATACTGTCATAATCACACACACGCCTCAAAAAATGAAATTACTTGACCGCATTTATCTAACAACACGCTATATTTATCTAACAGCACACTAATATCCGAAAGACTAAAATCATGCTTCGTGAATTAAAGGGCACAAAATTATCGGGAGCTGAATTTAATCGTGTATTTAAAGGAATACCTCTTTATAAATTTCTTAACAATAATTTTACTCACAACGGTTTTACCTACGAACTCGGCCTTAATGTCGATACTGTTGCATTTAACCCAAAAGGTGAGTGTTCTAAAGGAGGTCTTTATTTTTGTGCAGAATATGACTGTCATCACTATCTAAATGAATATGGTAATTTTGTTGCGATAATTGAAATACCCGATGACGCCCAAGTCTACATCGAAGATTACAAATTTAAGGCTGATCGAATTACACTTAAAAGTATCTTTAAAATTGAAAATTTGCCACAACAATTTTGGATCGACATTGTTAGAAATTATGGTCTAGCTTTACAATATGTAAAAGAACAAACCGAAAAACTATGCAAATTGGCAGTTCGGCAAGATGGTCTGGCGTTACAATATGTAAAAGAACAAACCGAAAAACTATTCAAAATAGCAGTTCAGCGAGATGGTGGGGCGTTAGAATTTGTAAAAGAACAGACCAAAGAATTATGCGAATTGGCAGTTCGGGAATATGGTCTGGCGTTGGAATTTGTAAAAGAGCAAACTAAAGAATTATGCGAATTAGCAGTTAAACAAAATGGTCTGGCGTTGGAATTTGTAAAAGAGCAAACTAAAGAATTATGCGAATTAGCAGTTAAACAAAATGGTCTGGCGTTGGAATTTGTAAAAGAACAAACAGAAGAAATATGCGAATCGGCAGTTTGGCAAAATGGCAGGGCTTTAAAATTTGTAAAAGAACAAACAGAAGAAATATGCAAATTGGCAGTTAAACAACACAGCTATGCGTTGGAATTTGTAAAAGAGCAAACAGAAGATATATGTATATTAGCGGTTCGACTAAATTGTTGGGCTTTGCAATTTGTAAAAGAACAGACCAATGAATTATGCGAAATAGCAGTTAAACAAAATGTTGGTGTATGGGAATATGTTACAAATAAGACTGATTTTTGTTTCAGGGGTGAATATAATCCAAGAAAAATTTGTTTCAAGTAATACTAATTTATGTATAATTGTTCCAAGTAAATATGTTTCAAGTTAATTTGTTTCGAGTAAAACTATCCCAAATAAAATTGTTTCGAGTCAAGTTAAATCGTTTTAAATAAGACTGATTCATGTTGAGTTTGTTTTAAGTAAATTTGTTTTAAATAAGACCGATTCAGGACCATAATATTATTTCTTTTTTTAAAATGTGAATAAATTTTATTGATATATATAAAAGCTAACGCAGTAATAATGTTTTATTTTTGTGTCAATTTGTTTTTTAATATTTTATCAATGGTTTTATTGCCACACCAATTAAAAAAATAAACCAATTAGAATGTGTTTCGAATGGGGAGCAGTGGATTAAGAAAATATGGACATGGTTAATAAAGTTGCGTTATTTTTTTGCCAATTTATAATATTTATATTAAAAAACGCCACAATTAACACAAATATAATATAATTCCCATTGGGTAATAAACGACCATGTCAACCTGTGGTTAATAAAATAAACCGAGTTTTATTCCAGGGATTTTTTTAATTAAACTCATATAGAACATCATACATATCATATGCCATCGAATTTAGACAACGGCACAATTGGATTTATCCACGAAGACAGATTTGTCGAACTAATTGCAGACGGAGATAAATTTATATTGGGTCGCGCAACTCTTAATTCTAATCCCGATTTTATTGTAACGCGGATACTTAATGGAACGACTGACCCATCGTCGTGTCCTTACGTTCAAATGAATATGGATGGACAATTTATTTTTGACGTTGATCCGATTTTAATGCGAAAAATTATATTTGATCTTAGAAAAGTTAATTCGAGTAGCTATGTGTTAGACATCAATTCAAGTCTTTTTAACGCAAAGCAAACGAGTTTAAAAATAAAAGGGGATCCCGATGTTGTTCAGACCGATCGACCGTCTTTAGTTGGCGGTAAAAATGCGAACCAAATGGAACCTGTTGACAAACCACGCATTTTCAAGAAATTTGAAGACCCGGGTAAAATACAATCTTATTATACCGATTTTAGTGTAACCAGCGACACATTAGACAGAGTCAATAATAAAACACTTATTGACCTTGTTGGCAAATCTTATGCTACAGAGTTCAACACATCGCCGGCCACTCTTAGTAACTCGAGTTCGAGTACGCAATCAAAAAGTCATAACATATACAGATCAAGAAAAATTGAAGTTGACACCATTTAAAAATAAATATTTAGTTTAATCATATACAATTACAATGTCCGAAAACAATGTTAATATCCGATTTAACGACGAGAAGATTCGTCTTACAGTTTTGACAAATATATGTAGGATGTTGATTAGGCGTGGATATATGAATGGCGAAAAGTATAAAAAAAGCGACACTGATACAAAAAAACAAAATTCCGATCAAATCGGAAGACAAACAATTGATCCACCGTCGGAATACGATCTAATAGACAACGAATTATTTCTTCCATTTATTGGGAGTCGTGTTGACAACAATGTTTATATAATCCCCCTTGACAATTATTATGGCGATGAACGCGAAATGGAAACAGGGAGCGACGAATTTGGGGATTTTGACGGATCTTCTGTTATTGTTAAAATAATTCCCCAAGTCGTAAAAGATGTCACAAACAGTCCCATTTTAAACGACTTTTTTAAATCTTATAATAAGTTCCATAATATTGTTGTTTTTGACGGAATGTCAGACAAAGTATATAACTTCTTCCGCAAGCAAAAGAACACAGAAGTTTTTAGTCGAGACATGCTTATGATCGATCTGATGTCCCACGAAGGTTCTCCATTAAAATGCGAATTTGTTACTTTAGAAGACATATCATATATCACCAATCCTAAACTTCCCAAGATTCATGAAAACGACCCTTTGTGTAAATATTATAACGGAAAGAAAGGCCAGATCATAAGAATTATAAGAACAAGTATTAACAATAGTCGGGAAATTGCGTACAGGCGGGTAATAATCCCAAATACTATTTTTGACTAAATTATATAGCATCATGTGACTTTTTTAATTATGTTTAAAAATACCATTTGTCAGTGATTTTAACAAGGCATTCATAATTAAGTCATTGAATATGATTAATTCACTGGTATATGTTTATTTTTTTATTATTTTCACATTAAATCGATTTAGTATCTTTTTAATGCAATAATGGTTTTTCGCCAATAATATTTAATTAAATAATCACCATGTGTTGTTTTTTGTATTATTAGCAATTTAATCAACACTCGTAAAATTTTACACCCTTGAAGATTTAAAATAAAATGAGGACTAAAGAATTATGTGATTTGGCAGTTTAGCAAAATATAAAAGCGCATAAATTTGTAAAAAACCGCCATAAGTCAAATCAAAAGACAGTATAAATTATGTTACCAGTGTATGTTCTTTTAAAATACGGTGACTTTTCATGATTTTAGGTAAATTCATTTGTGTTATTTACATTGAGTATATAAAAAAACATATAAAGTATGGAAAACAATTGCTAAAAACGGCATATACAATTAATAAAACTAAATTTTTAACAAAACGGTAATTTGACAAAAAAATCGGTTATATTCATAACTATTTCACCATAAATCATATCTTTCTGATTTTTTCCCCAATAATTTGTGGATTTTTATTTTTTAGTATTTTAGCATATTCACCTTTATAATCATGGTTGCACATATGGTCTGTAAAAAATTTATGTTTGTTACAGAACTTTAATCCGCATTTACATTCTAATGTAAAAATGTTTAATTTAGTCATACAATCAGAATATTGGCATCTTTTTGGTTCTTGTTTTTCTTTTATTGTTTTACCCGGTTCTGTATTACTTTTGCCACATTGGTTGTTTATATTATTTGTTATAAAAATAAGTTGTTGGATTTCTTCTTGAGTTAGCCCCTCGTTTGTTATTATTTCATGTATAATGTCCGCATTCTGGTTCTGGCCATCTTTTGACATTGACATCGACATACTGATTATTTAATACATAAAATATATAAAACACACGGAATAAAATTATATTAAAATCAATTTTATTGAATTAAAAATGATAAAAATTGATTAAATATCTTAAAATAGGCAGAGTTCAAACTCATATACAGTATCTTATAATAATTGATGAACAGTTTTAAATCTTTTCTTGATGCATATAGGTGTAAAAATACTAAAAAAACTACACATATAAATCTCGCAAAGCTTTCCGAGGGGGGCGGGGGGTTTAAATTTAAGGGAAGATCATACCAGAGGTTTTTGGAAAAATATGCAAATATCACAACAAATAACAAAGATATTGAATTAAATTTCATTGAGAAACCAAATAAAAATGGCGTAACCTATCTTTTATTAGATGTTAAATATGATCACGAAGGGTCTAAACGCCTCTATACAAAAGAACATATTGAACAGATCATCGAAAAAACTAATGAGATTGTCACAGATCATTTTGATGTTGAACACCATCAATTACAGTCCTTTGTGACAGAAAAACCAAAACCGTCTAAACTTAAAAACAGCGACCAATATAATAATGGACTATACTGGGACAGATTCTACATATATTACCCTAATCTTCCGATGGAAGAAAAACACCGTTTTTATGTTTTAGATCACCTAAATTCATGTATGGTTGAAAATGAATTTCTTAACGGTATCAATTACAGAAATGACGCTTGTTCCATTTTTAATACAGGTGTTGTAAAAAATAATGGCATCACAATGGTTGGTTCAAAAACACGAGAAGGAGTGTCTTATCAACTTACCCATGTTTACGATTCTGATCTTAACGAACAACGCAGAGACGAATTTGACAATGAGGAACTTATTTATTCTTTTTCTAACCAGCGATTTGATGTCGACAATAAAATTAATGCGTATAATGATGACGAAATACTTGAAGACATTGACAATGTTTACCGCCAGTATAGAAAAAGCAATAAATCAAGTAATTCCAATAATCACAATAAACCAAAAAAATCCAATAATTTAAAAAATTACGATAATTCAAAAAAATCCAAATATTCTGATTACTCAAATAATTCTAATAATTCCAATAATTCCAATAATTCCAATAATTCCAATAATTTTAACAACAGTGTTTCTTTGGAAACAATAAAAAAAAAATTAATAGAGCATAAAAAAGATATTAGACTTGCGAAAGAAATTATCGGAATTTTAAGTAAGAACAGGGCATCGGATTATTTAAGTTGGAAACGTGTAGGTTATGCATTAAGAGCCGTTGATGACTCGCTATATCCCGAATTTGTTAAATTCTCGAAAAATAATAAATGGAACACGACATGTGAACAAATATGGAAAGATGCCGTAAACTTTACTAAAAGTTATTCAATTGGAACGCTTAGATATTGGGCAAATTTAGACAATAGTAAAGAATATCACAAAATCATTCGCAGAATAAATGGCGACGTTTTTAGGAAGGCGGAATCAGGCAAACATGTTGATATCGCACAAATAGTGTACGAGCTCTATAAAGACAGGTTTAGATGCATTGATATCGAAAAGACAAAATGGTATGAGTTTCAAGACCACAGATGGGTTATCGTACAATCAGCATACACACTCGAAGAACTGATATCTGACGATGTCCGAAACATGATGTTATTGTATTGTTCGGAGAAGATGAGAGAAGAAACAGAATCAGGTAAAATAAGTGACAGATATGAAAGGGATTTTAAAAACAAAAAATACACAAATATGACAAATTCAATCAACAACCTTGCCGACGTTAAATTTAGGAAGAATGTTGTAAGAGCATGTGCAAATAAGTTTTACGATGCCGAATTTCAATCTAAACTTGATTCGAATGTTTATCTTGTCGGTTTTTTAAATGGGGTTTACGATCTTAAAGAAGGATGTTTTAGAAACGGTGTTCCATCGGATTATCTGTCGAAAACTGTCGGTTATGAATGGAAAACATTTGCTGGAAACGAACCTGTTTTTGAAAAAATAAACAAGTTCTTTTCGGAAGTTCAGACCGAAGAAGACATCCGTGTATATGTTTTGACATTTATTGCAAAAGTACTAAGAGGTATACCTGATTCAAAACTCCACATATGGACCGGTGGAGGTGGTAATGGAAAATCCGCAACAATCGATCTCATTAAAAATATATTGGGTGATTATTTTGGTACAGTTCCTGTTACAATTCTTACAAAAAAAAGAGGTTCGTCAAGTTCTGCAACTCCGGAGATGGCAGATAAGTACGGCAAAAGATTTATTGTTGTTCAAGAACCTGAATATAACGATGTGATTCAGGTCGGCCAAATGAAAGAATATACAGGCAGAGATCTGATAATGGCCCGACCTTTGTACGGAGAACCTTTTTACTACGTACCGCAATTTACAATGGTGTTGACCTGCAACAACCTTCCGACAATTCCAACAAATGACAATGGTACTTGGAGGCGTTTACGTGTAGTGCCATACGATTCAGAGTTTGTAGATGAAAATCCAACAAAATCACACCAATTCTTAAAAGACGAAGATCTTCAAGAAGATTTCCCCAATTGGGTTCAACCTTTAATGTGGATGATTGTTACCAAATACTATCCAATTTATGAAAAGGGATATAATGGCAAATCATACAAAATAATTGAACCGTTAAAGGTAAAACAACAAACCGCCGAATACAAAACTGACTCGGACGTTTATGCCGAATTTTTAAGAGACAATGTCACCCAAACAAACAATGACAAAGATTTGGAAACTATTGAGTTTCTTCACAAAAACTTTAAAGATTGGTACACAACTTCTTATAGCGACAAGGCTCCTCCTAAAAAAATCCTCGCAAAATATCTTGGTAATAATGGTTACAAAGTAGAAAAACAAAATGTTCACGGAGTCAGGTTCAATACAGGACTTGAGTAAAAATATTTTGTGTTATTAATTAGTAATAAACTGTTTTTATTTTATTTGTTTCAAGAAAGTAAAAGACTAATACGGCATATGTCATTTTATTATTTAATTTATCCAATATCAGCACTACATTACTCTTTTTGTTTTAATTAAAGTGCCGATAAAACTATTAACATAACATAATAAACACAAAAACAAAAAAAATGTGGCAATGCTCTTGTTAACTATTATTTATAAAACGACCATTATCGCAATAAAAATAAAATAATGCCGGTCTTGACTTTTATGTCGATGGTAAACATTTGCATTTTAATTTTAATTTAAAAAAATTAACGTAATATTTATAAAACAACTAAAAGAACGAACAATGGCGATTTTTAAATAATATTTGTTGTTAATGCCTTTAATTTGATTGTAATACCGTGACATAATAATGTTTCGCATTAAATTTGTTTTGTAATAAAAAACATCCCATGGCGAAAAAAGCGCGACATGTTGAAAATGTGTTAAATTTGTTTAACATTGTATTACAAAATACACAAAATGTTTTCGTAATAAAAATGTTTAATATTAAAACCGACTCATGGCAAAAATATCACATAGTTAAAATGTTTCATCGCAAAAACGTTTTATAATTAAATCGTTTCATGTCAAAAAAGTTTTACAATAAAAGTGTTTAATGTACTGTGTAAAAGTAAAATATGCTCGTGTGGAAACTGTTTACACCCTTGAGGATTTATAATAAATTGAGGCAATAATCCTATTAAAATCTAAAAGGTTTATCTATTACAGGAATATGTAAATTATGATTATGTTGTAGCGACAATTACAACTGATTAGTTTTTAGTCCTCGTTATATTATTATATTGGTATTAATGTTTTTACAAAATACCTATATTAAGGTAAGGGAGTAAGTAAATCGCCATAGAACTTATAACTATTCATTACTAACACAATGTTGTCATTTTCTTTAAATAGTTTTGTCATTGTTGTCTCATTTTATTTTAAATCTTCAAGGGTGTAAAGTCAATTAGTTTCAAACCAAAAACGTTGCACACTAAAACTGTTTCACGCTAATAATGTTTCAAGTAAAATCGTTCAAAGTTAAAACTGTCTAAAGTTAATTTGTTTTAATGATTGTCACATACTAAAAATATCCCAATAAAATTGTTTCACACTAAAAATACCCCAAGTAAATCTGTTACATACCAAATATGTTTTTGCTAAACTCGTAACACGACAAATCCGTTTCATACTAAATTTGATCCGTACTAAATATGTTTCAACTAAATTCGTTACACACTAAAATTGTTCACACTAAATATGTTTCTGCTAAATTCGCCACAAACTAAAAAAATCACAAGTAAAAATACCACATACTAAAACTGTTGTGAGTTAATCTGCTTCGAGTTATTTTGTTTCAGTTGTTGTTCCGTGCCAAAAATGTCCCATACTTAAAATGTTACACTTTAAAATTGTTACATACTAAAAATGTTTCATGCTAAAATGTTTCATACTATTAATGTTACAAGATAATTTGTTACATACCAAATTTGTTTTATATTAAAACTGCTTCAAGTAGATTAATTTTAATATTTGTTACATACTAAAATGTTTTTAGTCAATTTGTTTCACGCTAATAATGTTACAAGACATTTTGTTACGTACTAAAACAGCTTCAAGTAGATTTGTTTCATACCACAAATGTTTCAAGATAACTTGTTACATGTTACACGCTAAATTTGTTTCATATCATAACTGCTTCAAGTAGATTTATTATAATATTTGTCACATACTAATAATGTTACAAGACAATTTGCTACATACTAAAACGGCTTTAAGTAGATTTGTCACATACCATAAATTTTTCAAGATAACTTGTTACATACTAAATTTGTTTCATATCATAACTGCTTCAAGTAGATTTATTATAATATTTGTCACATACCAACAATGTATCAAGTCAATTTGTTTCACACTAAAAATGTTACAAAACAATTTATTACGTACTAAAACAGCTTCAAGTGGATTAGTTTCATACTATAAATGTTTCAAGATAATTTGTTACATACTAAATTTGTCTCATACTAAAAATGTTA